ACTCACTTACGAATGTATGTGTGTATGTTAGCGCCTATACGCAATACCGGTCGTAAATCAGAGTTATCAAAAGGCCAATGTCAGGCTCGGATCGTCAAGGCCGAATGACCCAAGAGAAAGCCCTGACCGAGACTGCCAAGTCCTTAAGCAAGAATAGTTGAGATAATGAGATATGAGCTTGTAAGCATGTCAGTCAAGTTACGAAACCACTTGTCCTAACCTCTCAGTCTTAACGTTTAGCCCCTCAAGTAAAGGCATGACTAAGGCTGCGTAATCTGGCACACTTGGTTTGGCTGATGAGCTTAATCTATACACGATGTATTCACCATATTTCGTTTAAGATGAAGAATTTTCACACAATCATATGAGCAGAGCTGACGTTTTCAGTGAATTTGAAATTAAATGAAAATTCATATGATTGTGGGAAAATTCTACTGCCAGTCCTTCATTATCTTAAACGAACTAGGGTGAATACATCTCATACTACTGATTTACTGGTAGTCTCAAGACTCTACTTAATACGAAAAATAAGTAATATTGTCGATTGTTGTAGCAAAAATACATTTGCTTCATCGACAATCTCACCAGAGAATGAAATGTGGGAAGAAAGGCATAGTCTTCGTTAAAATTCACATCTGCCCTGTGACCAAAGGGCATTTGTGGCAATGTGAAATTGAATGGAAGCGTCAGCTCTACTCATATGATAGTGGGAAAATTCTACTACCAGTCGTTCATCTCCTTAAATGAAATTGGGTGAATTCATCTCATATTACTGATTTACTGGTAGTCTCGAGACTCTGCTTACATACGAGCTTACTCAAAAGTAAAATAGTTCTTTACTCATGTGGCAAGATGACTTACACGATAGAGCCATGTCAACCCCGTTCAAGCCGACAAGACTGTTTTGATTTAGGCCTGCATTCGTGAGCGCATATGCAGTTGTCATTTCCGTCTTCACCGTCGCCAAGGAGATATTGCTCAGAGTTGGCGAGGTCATCTTCATCTCAAGCACCGCCTGAGCGCTGCCATCCGCGCCCATTTTCACAGTGCTGAGATGACAACTGACCAAAGTGAGATCATAGCTGGCTCCGGCGGCAACATTTGTCTGATGCAAAGGTGCACAGAATAGTAAAGACAATCTTTAGCAAAGTTGACTTCCAGCTTACATTCGGCACAAAGTTTGACTTAGCAACGGCCCAAAGGCCGTTGGAGAGGAAGTTTTCGTATTAACTTAATGCTGTGATTCCCAAACTGTGCGCCGGGGCGCCGCGAAATGTTATAAAAGCTACAATTAGGGAAAATGTGCAGTGATTTGCAGGCTCATGCATCGCATTGATTATTAAATATTAATTTGATATCAATAAAGTAAATAAAATAAGGAAAATACACGAGCTTATTTATTTTTATCTCTTGCCTACGAATAGTCATATTAAGGGTAGGGCGCCATGAAAAAATTGTAATTGAAAAAGGGCGCCGCGACTAGGAGAAGTTTGGGAACCACTGACTTAATGGATGGAGAAATCTTTTTGCTTTTATTCATCACTCAGCACAGTTTTCTATTCATGTGTTATCTGACATATAGAGCTTAGAATTGTGCATATGTGTGATTGTTCATCCACTCGCTGGGTGCCAAATCCAAACTGTGCTATTGAACACTGTCGTGTAAGATGGTATGAAATGAAAGTTGAAATGTTAACACATAAATAAGTAGAAGGCATCACAGTTTTTGTGAATTTCATTTGTCACCCAGAAGGATTTCCCATTCTGGCCGGAGTGCCATGTAACTGATTTCTAATTCAACTCTTTAAATCACCTTAAACGACCAAGAGTGGTTCGAGTTGCCATTCTAGATCTATCCACAGCTTCGAAACTACTCAATGTACAGCTGAACAAGTCACACTCCTAACGTCCTAGTAACATGTGGCCGTGTCTCTCGCCTTAACAGCAATACTACTAATCCTGCCGTCATCTACTCTCATAGCATTGCATTCAACCGGCTACAGGCCTGTTACTACGGCAGAGGTGAACTTACAGAATTGCAAAGGTTCGTCTCCAACTGGTTCCTGGTCGTACTAGTCCAGTCAGCATAGTCCGCCATCCATTTGAGAGGAGACTTGTTCTTGTACACAGTCGAAGTGAGAAGTACCGTCATTGAATCTTGGGTAAAAGGTAATAAAGCTTAATCTGCAAAGATACGCCAAGAAAAGTAGGGTTTTAAGGAATCTCTCGTTTCATAATTGTTGAGCTTACTTCCATTTCGAGTGAAAGTGTTGGGTGAAGGTCGC